CCAAAAACAGGAAACAATCCAAATGTCCCTTAACAGGTAAATGGTTAAGCTATAGTACATTCAGGTACACAATACAACTCAGCAACAAAAAGGAAAAAATTAGTGATATGTGCAACTTTCATGTATCTCCAGTGAATAAAACTGAGTGGGAAGAAGGCCAATCTGTCAGTTAAGTAAAAAGGTTTTTTAATTTAAAAAAAAAAAAAAAAAGTTTTTGAAGCCCAATCTCAAAAGGTTATATATTGTATTTTCTAGTTATACAACATCTAAAGATCTTTTAACTTTGTTTGGAAGGCAAGGAGAACTCCCATCCATTGATTCATTTCTACAAATGTCCAGAACTTGGGCAGCCAGGAGAGCTGGAGGGAGACCAGGCAGAAGCTGGGAGTTGAGAACCCAATCCCGCTAGTCTACCCAGGTCTGAGAGCCAATCGCCTGAGCCATTATTGCTGTGTCCCATGATCTACGATAGTATCAAGCTGGAAGTCAGGAGCCAAAGCGGGAATGAAACTCAAGGAACATATATGGTACACCTCCTAATGGCTAGGCTAATGTCCACCCACTATACAACGTTCTTGAAATGAAAAAATTAAAGAAACGTAGACTAGTTCAGAGATTGCCAGGGGTTAAGAGGCGGCCATGAGCGGAGAAAAGCAGGTGTGAGTCTAAGAGGTCGACAGGAAGGATCCTTGCCAGGAAGGTTTTGTAGCTTCACTGCATCAGGGTCAGTTCTCCTACTGTGATGCTTTCATCACAGTTAACAGATGATAGCATCACAGATGTCATCAGTGGGGGGAAACTGAGCAAAGGATTCACATTATCTCTGAATTATTTCTTACAACTTCATGTGAATGCACAACTTATCTCAAAAAATGGGATGGACGGATAAGAACTTAACCTCATTGAAGAAAAGACACTTTTTGGAGGTAGGAAAGACAGTCTAGGTTGACAGAGGCAGAGTACCCCGGGGATGGGGGAATCTTTTTCTCTAGGCTCAAGTTCAATGCTAATTGGGTTGGGAGAGATGGGGGCTATGAAGGAGCCTCAGATGGGAACTTTCAGGTAATCAAGAAAACTTACAATATTAAAGTCTGTAGGGAGCATGATTAAGACTCGACAACAAAAACAGCATCCCCTACTTATCCTACTGCATCTAAAGCATCATTTTCTACTTGCCAATTACATATATGGAAGTTAATTCTGTTTTATGTACAGAGTTGCAAAGTTTTCAGTAAAACTGAAAATGTTTCAAAGTAAAAATTCGTATTATCCCAATTTGTGTATCACTGCAAAATTAAGAAACTGGATTCCTGCTCCCAACATGGGAAATGTGAATTGTTTTCCTGGTTCCCAGCTCCAGGCCAGCCTCACCTGTTGTAAAAAAAAAAAAAAAAAAAAAAAAAAAAGGGCAGGGGTGACAGTGTCCTGGGGCAGCAGGTGAAGCTGCCACTCCCATCTAGGAATGTCAATTTGCTTTCAATCCAGCTTCTTGCTAATGCACTTTGGAGGCAGCAGACGATGTCCAAGTACTTGGGTCTCTGCCACCCACAAAGCAGACCTGAATGGAGTTTTTGGCTCCTGTTTTCAGTCTTGCCCAGCCCTGCATGTTGTTGGCATGTAGGAAGTGAACCAGTAGATGGAAGATCTCTGTTACTCTTGCCTTTCAAATGCATCAATCTTAAAAGAAAAAACTTAAAAAATTAATAAGAGTAAAATGATAATTACACATTCCCAATCACACAAGTAATTACTGTCACATTCATTTTTTCTCCCCTACATAAAGAACCTCCTTTCCTCCTCCTTATACGAATATGGGTACCTTTATAAATGGGGAACGTCCATGGTGGCTAATACAAGAAGCTTGCTTTTATTAACAATTTTAATCTTTTATAGTATATGTTAGAAAAGTCCATGAAGCCTGAACTAGCCAAGTTTTCTGCATGTGAACTTCCCAAAGCTGCATCAGCATTCACTTTGAGAACATTAAGACTAAATTCATTGTCAGGTGTCCTAATGAAAGTCTTAATTGCAATCGACTTGCTCAATTCTCACAACACCAGTCACATGTAGCAATTAATTCTTAGCTTCACTGCAGCAAATATTTACTGAATGGTTCTGCCCAATCACTGCAGAGGTAACAGGATACAACAGTGATGAAACGAAAAATGTAGCTAGCACTTTTTTTTTTTTTTTTTTTAAACAGGCAGAGTGGACAGTGAGAGAGAGAGACAGAGAGAAAGGTCTTCCTTTGCCGTTGGTTCACCCTCCAATGGTGGCCGCGGCTGGCGCGCTGCGGCCGGCGCACCGCGCTGATCTGATGGCAGGAGCCAGGAGCCAGGTGCTTTTCCTGGTCTCCCATGGGGTGCAGGGCCCAAGCACCTGGGCCATCCTCCACTGCACTCCCTGGCCACAGCAGAGAGCTGGCCTGGAAGAGGGGCAACCGGGACAGAATCCGGCGCCCCAACCGGGACTAGAACCCGGTGTGCCGGCGCCGCTAGGCGGAGGATTAGCCTAGTGAGCTGCGGCGCCGGCCGTAGCTAGCACTTTAATCCTGTAAGGTCTAATGAAAACTGAGATGCACAGCTGTACATGGAGACTCAGTTCCAGAGGTCTTTAGCAAGAGCAGCCTCCTAAACTAGCACGACAATCAGTGAAGGGAATCTTAAGGATAAACAGGGAACAGCTAGCTGAGAAGAGGTGAAAAGAGAACACTGACAAATATTTAGGCATTCATTTATTTTTATTTTTATTTTTTACAGGCAGAGTGGACAGTGAGAGAGAGAGAGACAGAGAGAAAGGTCTTCCTTTTACCGTTGGTTCACCCCGCCAAATGGCCGCTGCGGCCGGCACACCGCGCTGATCCAAAGCCAGGAGCCAGGTGCTTCTCCTGGTCTCCTATGCAGGAGCAGGGCCCAAGCACTTGGGCCATCCTCCACTGCACTCCCGGGCCACAGCTGAGAGCTGGCCTGGAAGAGGGGCAACCGGGACAGAATCCGGCGCCCTGACTGGGACTAGAACCCGGTGTGCTGGCACCGCATTGCAGAGGATTAGCCTATTGAGCCACGTGCCAGCCTTTAGCCTTTCATTTAAAAATACATTAAAATGATTATAAGAAAAGAAATTCCAGGAAAATTATGAAAAACTTTTAAGAGTAAACTTGATAACCAACAGTCAGTGCATGATGCTGGCATTGTGGCATAGCAGATAAAGCTGTGGTCTGTGATGCTGGCATCCCATATGGGCACCAGTTCATGTCCTGGCTGCTCCACTTAAAATCCAGCTCCCTACTGTGGGGAGCAATCCGGACTAGACTAAGTTACTCGAATTAGGACTTATTCTATGCATCTGCTCTCCCACAATATGGCGCTGGGAGAGAAGTAAACAGCTTCCGCACAGCTGCCTCCAGTTCAACCAATTAACTGTAGGACTTGCTCCTGATTGGAGAGCAGCGTACTCAGCCGAGTTGGGATTGGCGGAGGAGGACTATAAAGGAGGAGAGAGACGGCATGCACCAGGAACATCTATGGGGAACATCTAAGGGAACCCGTGCAGCCCCCGAGAAAGCCGGCCGGCGGTGTGCCGCTCCCCTGCGGAAGTGGGGAATGCGGCCAGGGGGAACTGCCCTTCCACGGAGGTGGAAGGGATAGTAGCCAACCCGGGAAGAACCAGCAGCAAACCCGGGGAGGGCCGAGCAGACGAAAGAACAGCGCAGGGTCCTGTGTTGTTCCTCCACGAAGAGGGGGAGCGACACCTACTTTTCTGGGAAAAGCAGGGAAAGACAGCCCAAGCACTTGCCTCCTGAAAGCCACATGGGACATGGAGATGTAGCTCCTATCTCCAGGCTTTGGCCTGGCTCAGCTCTGGCCATTGCAGCCACTTGGGGGGTGAACCAGCAGATGGAAGATCAATCTCTCTCTCTCTTTCTCTCAATAAGTCTTTAAATAAAAAAAGTCAGTGAAAAATGACTGTAGATCAGAAAAAGATAAAAAGAATGCATGATGTCAGGAAAACAGAAACTCATGAAACAGAGGCATCAGGCAACTCCAAATGAATACAATATAGACAAGTCTTACAGTTTATGGTTGAAACTCTGTGTAAAAGGCAATTAGAATTTCCAAATTTCTTCCCCTATTCAGAAAGAAAAGACTACTCTACCTCTCCAGACACTGGACTCAGTAGTAACAGGTGTAGCAGGAAAAAAAGAACTGGGAGTTTCAGTGAAACTCTACTTCCTGCACTGTAAGCAACTTGGCCCTTTCCTTCCAAGCTGACATTCAAAAAGCAGGCAGTACGGTTTATACCTTTCTGCACACAAGAGAGCGAAAGATTCTTCTCTGCGATCTCTCTCTCACACACACAGGACCTACAGATAATTACAGCTGGAGATTTACTAATGAAATGCCCTTATCAGACACCATATAGTGAAGCTCATTTTATAAGCTCCACTCATATGCTATGAAGAAGTTTCCAATCAGCGATTTAAGAGGACTAGTGTTTTTCATTTTAAACTTCATTTTACATTTTTAAAATATTTATGTATTTCAGAGGCAGAAAAACAGACAAAGCAAGCTCCCATCTCTGCTGGTTCACTCTCCACGTGCCTGCAATGGCCAGAGCCAGGAACTAAATCCAGGTTTCCCACAGAGGTGTTAAAAAACCAACTACTTAAGCCATTATCATCATCATCTGTGTCTGCATTAGAAGGAAGATAGAAGCAGGAGCCAGAGCCAGAACTCAGGCACTCCAAGTGGGATGCTGATCTGAACTAACAGGCTAAACGCCCACTCCTCATTTGACTTTTTAATATGTTCTTTGATAAAAAGATAATAGGGAAAGGTAGACGGAAAGAAAAAGTGGAGGAGGAATTACCTAAGCAGACAGTATTATTTGCAACTTTAAAATTATTTTATACACATAATTAAAAACAAGCTTAAATAAATCACTCAACCTTAATAAAAATGCATGCCAAAGTAAGGTACCCAAAATAGAAAGTACTCAACCTGTAAATCCATTAACATAGATGGCAACTCCACTAAAAATCGAAGATGAAGTCCCATCCTTCTGCATAGCAGCATCTGATCGAAACTGTTCTTCCAACTTCTGGACCTTGGCAGCCATATAACCACCCTAGAATTAAAGAAAAGGTAAACCAATCACAAAAATTCCACCTACTTTCTTCCACCTAATTTTTAAAATTGAATATATTTAAAGTAATAACACATAAAAGCTCCTTATGCTGTGCTAGTACCCTAATGACCTCCTACACACAAACCACAAGGCATAGTAACAACACATACAGCAAAAAAAACTTTTCTGAACACAGTTTTTCACAATTTTACTACATTTTTAGAGTAAGTTAATGTTAAAGAGAGGAAAAATTTAATTCCACAAAACATTGTTCTTACATAAGTAATCTTTCATAAATAATTACATACCAATGTTTAAACAAATCAGATATTTGACAAGTGATCTAACAGCACATTCTAAACCGGATTCCACTATCTCTTATACATAGGGAGCTTAAGATGAATTACTTCAGGTAAAATAAAGCAATAAGGAAACAATGAATGACTCAGGATAAATTCTGGATTTCATCAACCTATCTATTATGATAGTATAAAAACTTTCATCAGATAATACCAACCTCAGAAGGAATATTTTAAAAATTATCATTTTTGCTAAACACCTTTAGGTAAGTGAATTCGACTATACCTTTTCTAATCTTGAAATAATTAAGCCTGATTGATCTGAATCATAAGGTCTTTAAATTAAAGCTGTAAGTGGCTACAAGTGACCCATACTTTTCCAAAATAGAAATTGTTTTTAGTCTTTATTAAAATATTACTTTTTCAGAATTTTCAGAAACTGTAGAAAGTATAAAGAAGTAAATTAAAACTGGAATGACTCCATTCATTAACATTTTGGGGTATTTTCAAACATTATTTTTGTGTCTCAGAGCATAGAGGTTTTACAAAAATAGGATCATACTTTTTTAACACACTGCTTTAATCAAGACTATCATTCTACCTCAAGAACTACACAGCTGCAGATCAGCATTGTGGCACAGTAGGTTAAACTGCTGCTATGATGCTGGCATCCAGTATCACAGCGCTGTTTTGAGTCCCAGCTGCTATACTTCCAATTCAGCTCCCTGTTAATGTACCTAGGAAAGCAGCAGAGGCTGGCCCAAATATGTGAGCCCCTGCCACCCATGTGGGAGACCAAGATGGAGTGCTTGGCTCCTGGCATTAGCCTGGCCTAATCCCAGGCCACTGCAGCCATTTGGGGAGTCAACCAGCAGATGGAAGATCTCTTTCTCTCCCCATTTCTGTCATTTTGCCTTTCAAATAAATAAAACTTTAAATATACACACATATATGGCTAAATAACAACTGCACAGTGTGCCCCAATAAATAACTTATTTGACAGTCCTTTATTCGAATAGTTCCCTATTATTGGATATGTATGTGTTTTCCTGTTTCTTAGCTTTGTTAATAACATTGCAATAAAAACATTCTCACTAAAGTTTTGTATGCTAGCATAGTTATTTCCTTAGGATAAAAATCCCTGAGAGTAAGATTTAGGGGTTAAAGTTTATGAACACCATTAAGGTATATGAAACACTGTGAAATTGTGAGGTGGTATCTAAAGCGATTTACAATTTAGAAAATGCTTTAAACCATTATATAAACTAAAAAAAAAAAAAAAAAAGAGAGCGAAATACCTAGACAGTTCAAAATAATTATTTTTATTCTTTTAAAACACACCCATTTTTCCCAGCCATCATTTTCAGCTCGTTTCCTCCATCCACCTCGCCTCATGGTGGAGCTTCTGCATTAGGGAAGAAAAAAATATGTCAATTTTATAACATGATGTATTCCTGACATATTTTAATATCAAGAAAGAGGAAGAAATTAAAATAAATCCAAATGTTCAATTAATGAAAGTCAAAAGTACAGTAAACTTTTTTCCAGAAAGTAACATTCCCATTCTTTACAAGTAAAATTTGTTCCTAAAACATTCTCCTATGTAAGCACAATGTTTAAATTATAAATTTCAAACAGGAAAAATTTTTATGTATTCTGAATACCAATCCTAACACCCATCTATATAAAACATAATCAAATTCAACTAACATGATCATGCCTACATAACTTGTTACTATTAATTCTGTTAATAATTAATCACTATTAATTCATTAACTGCCCCACATTATTGATCTTAAGGTCTGTCTTTCCCAGACACTTAAATAGTGTTACTCATAGCATAATTCAACTATTCGGGGGGGGGGGGGGGGGGGACCACCCTTTAAAATGTCAACCCAAACAATATACTGGTCCAAGTTTTTGGTATAATAGTTAAGTTACCACTTGGAAAACCTACATTTCATAGAGAAGTCCCTAGGTTCAAATCCTGGCTCCACTTCAAATCCAATTTCCTATTAATGTACATTCTGGGAGGAGGCAAGTGACAGCTCAAGTAACTACTTGGGTCCCTGCCACCCACAAGGGAGATCCAGACTGAGATCCCCAGTTGTTGTGAGCATTGGGAAGTGAACCATCAGATAAAAGATCTCTGTGTCTCTCTCTGCCCTTCAAATAAATAAAACAAATACAAAAATGTATTTGTCATAGACGACATGACGCAGAAAAAGGATCATTAACTATTAAAACGGTAAATCTGTCTTTCTCTACTATAAAACCTCCAAGATGACCCAACGATGGCTCATCTTAAGCAGCAGCTGACTCAGTGGCTATAGCAATATAAAAGGATTCCTAAGTCAAAGCAAGCACCTCATGGAACTCCCTGCAAAGTTAAATTCTTAACTGGTTACACCTTGGGACACAATTCCATTACCCTTCACAAAAGTACTGGAAGACTTCCACTCAGACATTTTTAATTCTGGTAACCATTTTAAAGCTTTGTCATATGAAGCCTTATATACTATTCAAAGTCAAAAAGTTTTAATACAATTTATAAGAATATTTTACTTAACACTGCCTTAAAACACAACCTTTGTCCATACATATTGATAGATACTTTCAATTATTTTTAGTATAGTACAGGATTTAGTTTTTTTTTAACTTAATTAGGAATTTTCACTATATTAATTTTAACATTTTCACTACATTTTTACTACATTAATTTAGTAATACATTTTTACTATATTAATAATTGTAAATTTTTCTATACCTAGAAGACGCCAGAAAGATTTGCGGAAATATTCTCAAAGACTTAAGTTCCATTAGAGAGACAAAATAATATTAATGTGTCAGGGGCATGTGGAAGTGCTCTGAGAACAGCAGGCAAACTGTTAACCCTGAGGAGAGAACTGCTGTGTTTTCTGTTAAATATTTCTTTTCTTTTCCAGAGGCTCATTTTGTCTAGTCTCTGAAGACTTCATCCCTTATCTAGTTTAAGAAATGTGTTAACATACAGCTCCTGCCTTCATATAAATTCTGAATCTATACACCTCTTACAATTAGAGTTTGGGAGTACCAGTCATTACACACTAAGGATACAGACTCAAAATAATTAGATACAACTATTAATCTGCTACAGGAAAGTAAAATAAATTTTAAAAGTTCACTTCATTTGCCCATTTACCTAAGAGCCCATTTATTTAAGATCCATGGGGTGTTTAACAGCAAAAGGCTAACATTAAAATTTTCTTGATGGTTACATTAGGATAGATATGAAAAGAAGTCATGATAAAAACCAAAGATACTAAAGGTTCTTTCCTCAAAACACAGTAATGAGAGTATCCCAGACAATGTTAGAAGCTTTGGAAGGTAAAAGGAAGAATGAACAAGGAAAGCTATAATTCAATCATTCCCATCTAATTTGACCCATGAACAGTAGAACTCTACTGACCCAAAGCTTAAGACAAAAGACTGCGAGAGGGGGTGAGGGTGACAAAACCCTATTTCATTTTATACATTCTAAACCTCTCAGTAGGACCGGCGCTGTGGTGTAGCAGGTAAAACCGCCACCTGCAGTGCCAGCACCCCATATGGGCGCCGGTTCAGGACCTGGCTGCTCCACTTCTGATCCAGCTCTCTGCTGTGGCCTGGGAGGGCAGTGGAGGATGGCCAGAGTCCTCGGGCCCCTGTACCTGCGTGGGAGACCCGGAGGAGGCTCCTTGCTCCTGGCTTAAGATCGGCGCAGCTCCAGCTATTGTGGCCAATTGGGGAGTGAACCAACGGGTGGAAGACCTCTCTCTCTCTGCCTCTCCTCTCTCTGTGTAACTCTGAATTTCAAATAAATAAATAAATCTTAAAAAAAAAAAAGAAAGAAAGAAAGAAAATCCCTCAGGACCAGCACTGCGGCTTAGTGGGTAAAGCTGCTACCTGCAGTGCTAGCATCCCATATGGGGCTCTGGTTCGAGTCCCGGCTGCTCCATTTCCAATCCCACTCTCTGCTGTGGCCTGGGAAAGCAGTAGAGGATGCCCCATGTCCTTGGGACCCTGAGCTCGTGTGTGAGATCTGGAAGAAGCTCCTGGCTCACTCCTGACTTCCAATCGGCTCAGCTCCGGCCATGCGGCCATCTGGCGAGTGAACTGGCTCTGCCCTCTGCCTCACAAATAAAATAAATAAATCTTTAAAAAAAGAAGAAGAAAAGAAAACCCCACAACAAATAATGAAATAGACCAACCCTCCTGCTGACCAAGAGGAAAGATAGACAAAAACATTGTTTTTGAAAAATGTCCAAGGTATGGAAGGGTTAGCAAATAATAAAAGACTGCTGGTCAAGAATCAAGAAGACAAAACTCTACAGAAGAGATCTGACACCTTCACTAACTGCTCTCCAAAATGAGACTGCTTTTCCTCCTGAGGCTATTTAGCAATTCTAGAAGAGTGGCTGAGAGCCTGGGCAATGTCATGGACAAACACTGTGCTTAAAAAAAAAGGGGGGGGGACCCCAAAAGTCTTCCAAAGCTACAGATCTCCACTAGGATTAGAACCCTAGGAACAAAGGTAAACTGAAAACAGACCAAACTACAGAGAAACCAAATCCTGCATCGTCTCAATCTTTGAAAGCAGATTAAGGTGACCCTGAACTTCCAGTGCCCTAAGGCACATGGTGGCAGAAGCAAATGTGAATTCTATATGGAAGATGATGACAACATTCTAAACTTCACATATTCCTACAAATAATTTTTGCAAACATGAGTGAGTCTTCCAAAAGTTTATGGAAAACATGCACTATGAAAAAGATATGCATGGATTTCAAGATTTTCTTGCACCCAAAATAAATATATCTCTTAATTCAATTTTCCATTCACTTTTGAAGTCCCCTTGTATAATGTTGGCACTCAAATAAAAATAACCAGGCACACAGAAGTTAAGATTACATGAGTAAGAACCAATAAAACAAAATAAACAGGCATACAGAGACTGTAGGTGCCAAATTTAACAGATTTTAAAATAACTATGCTCACTATGTTCAAGAAGATAGAAGACAAGAGTCCTAGCGTTACAGCCTAAAAAGAACTGAGCACAAGGCAAGGCAACACCAGCCCTACGTACAAACTTAAGGGCAAGGATTTGGGGCAGGACAAGTGTGTGCATGACAGCAGGGAATCCTCGAGCACCCAAGGAACTCCATGCCACTCCCCTTTAATGCTGGGTAAAAGCCTGTATCTGGCATTCAGCAAGGCCTTCTAGCAAATAAAAGGGAGACTCTGACAGCATGGAAACAATACACAGGTTTGTCAACACTTTGGTTGATACCCATTGTTCACACTTCACTCAGACCCCCATGCATCTCCTTGTAATACTCAAAATATTATATAATGAAAATATGAAAAATACTGATACATATAAAACTGCCATTAATCTTATGTATCACAAGAAGTCAATAAATACTTGTGGAAGACAATCAACTAGTATGTAACCAACTTGTATGGCAGCAACACAGTATTATGTCCCAAGGAGAGTGTCCCAATGTATCAATAATTAAACAGTACCTTACATATTTAGTTTAATCCTATCAATCTTTTCTCTTCCTTAAAAGCTTCTTTCCAAAAAATTGCAATCAAATTATGTGCTAATTGTTTTAACAGACAGCACTGTGATAGAAATCCCCTCCCCAAAAAGTGGTACCTAGACAGGATTAGCAAATAACATACACTTCTGACCTAACAAGTACCCACAACAGATGGAAATAATTTTAAGTCATTTAGAGGAATCAGAAGAAGCTAACAGAAATATCCACACTTGCAAACTGTGATGCATTATGAAATGAAGGTTTATGTTTCTGCTAACTAGTAAGGGCCCCCCTCCACTCCAAAAAAGGCTCTCCTAATGCCTCTCTAGCCTCATCCAGGGGAATGTTGAAATGTTCCTACTCTACATACCTGCTTCTTCACACAGGACCTTCCTGATAATGAAGGAGGGCAATGAGTCAGGAAACTCTCTCAGAAACAACACACTCCTTATTTTCATCCTCTGTTCACAGCAGTCTCTGGGACTTCATGTCCTCTTGACTAAATCTACTAAGAGGTGGCTCTATATTGATAAGCCATTTAATCACCAAGCTAGACTTGTAAAAACCTACCTTCTTATTTTCAGAGAAAACTCTTGGAGTCTGGGATGCCAATCTAATTCCACGGTGCTTGATGACACTGAGGAAAGTTTTTTTTTTTTTTTTTTACAGGCAGAGTGGACAATGAGAGATAGAGACAGAGAGAAAGGTCTTCCATTTCTGTTGGTTCACCCCCCAAATGGTTGCTACGGCCGGCTCGCTGCGCCGATCTGAAGCCAGGAGCCACATGCTTCCTCCTGGTCGCCCATGTGGGTTCAGGGCACAAGGACTTGGGCCATCCTCC